GGGGGGGGGGGGAGTTCTCAAAAGTGGAGCTAACAGCATCTGGAGCAGTTGCCCATGGCAACCAGCTTCTCTCTTCAGTTTGTTTAGGTAAGATTTGAAAATGAGACAGAGAAGCTGATTGGTTGCCATGCACAGCTGCTCCAGATTTTGTCTGCTCCAGCTTTGATAAATTCCCCCCATTGTCTTGTGTAGACAGGGCAAGACCAGTTTCATCAGCTACTTAGGGTTGTAAGGGGAGGGGAATATATTTTTGTATTTTACTACTACAAGGAACTGAACACCATTTTTTTTACATTTTAAAGCCAATGTATACAACAACAAAAATTACAAATCACACTTACTGCTGCAGGCTGCTGGTATTGGCCCAGTTGATGCTGAGGAGACTGTGGCAGAACCTGGCCTTCGATTACAGGTGGACTGTATACTCGTTGGATGGCTGGGGGTAGAGTGTCTGGCAAGGAAGAGTAAATTACACTTTGTTGACTGCTCTGTGAATCTGAGTACACCGTGGACCCTTGACCACTGTCAAATGTGCTGTCAGCTGCCGAAAACAAAAAGAAAATGAAAAGGCAAAAACAAAATGAAAGCAAACAAATGAAAGCAATATTTAGATACAGGAAAAGCTGTACATACTGGTTGTCAGTTATTTTAATACAGCATTTTAAAAACACACAACATTTTCATTACAGCATACATTGAAGAGGTGCCAATTATTTTAGATTATATAATAGTATTTGCATTAACTTGCACACATTATCCTTTATTAAAATGTAGAGTGGGGGCAAAACATCCATCCCACAACCATGGGTCCTAATGTGGGGGTTGGTCCCCTCCATATCAGATGTCCTTGTTTAGCAACTCCCACTTATCATGCAAATTTCAGAGGCAAATCATAACTGCAATAACTGAATTTTAATATATCTAAACGTGACTAAAATAAATATCAATCCTGTGAAATGCACCATATAAAAAGGAGAAGGGTATATTATCCGGCTAATGCAACACAAACATTTGTTTCGGCAAGCTGACCTGACTTGCAATATTAACAGTGATCCATCATACAAGAGCAGTAGTAATACCACACGTCATATATCCACCAGTACAGCCCACAAATTCTTCACTTAAAGCGACATTAAACCCTCAGATTTTTTAACATAAAACAATACTGTAATGTGTGCCTTACTGTAATCCATGGTTGTTTCCCTTCTCTTTGCTGCTCTTCCTTTTAAATCTGTATCTCTTCTCATGCTGGGCAGAACTTCTGTTTTGCAGCAGACTGCCTAGTCTCTGAAATGGATGCATGGTGTCTGTGTGAAGGTTCACAACCTGAGCCAGCACTACAGGAAGAGGCACTCAGCTGCAAAGGGAAGATCTCCCCAAGCATAAGAGATACAGATTTAAAAAGGAAGAGCAGCAAAGAGAAGGGAAACTACCATGCATTACAGTAAGGCACACATTACAGTATTGGTTCATGTTAAAAAATCTGAGGGTTTAATGTCACTTTAAGCCATTTGAAATCAGAAGGAAAATGGGAGGATAACCCATACATGGCCTACTTTGTCAGGTTTACTCTAAACTGTATAAATCACAAGTATAAATAGTTTTTGGAATTGTAATATCAATTACATGTATTTTATATATGGCTTTGAGTTTGTGTTGTTCCATTTATTTGTGTCAATTCTTTCTCATGTGGATATTAATCTTAGGCAATACCCCAACCTCAGCAGAGGATTGGATAGTTCAGAAGGGCACCCAAAATGTGTTTATGTACAAAGCCTTAGACACACATGCCTTATAGGCATAAGCAATATATGACCTAGCTCTTCATCTGTCACATTCACACATGTCAGTGCATGTCTAAAAACCTCTGTTTCAGCTCTATGGTGAATGGAGTCATTCACATGCAGCACAGCTTAGCACTGCAGCAGTAGAGATAGATATACAGAAAATGCTTGGCATTGCATCCCTGCACCCACTATTCAGAGGCTACACAAAACACACACACGTGTACCTGTACCTAACAGCTTTGTTCATCAAAAAGAATAAATTTAAGATACATCTGATTAACCCTTGTGCTTGGCAATATATGCATTGATCCAATTGTCCAGTGCAACCATTTTTTATATATCCTGATTAAATCTACCACTATCAGTTGATTTTCACTACCATTTTGATTGTTTTCAATTATTTGAGAGTAGCTGAATATGAAAAAAAAAAAGTGACTGGACCGGCCTAAACATTCTGCAAATTTGAATTTTAATCTTTGAGGCATATGGAGCAATCAATCTTCTTTTGATACAATCACTTTTGAAGTTTGTCTACTTTTTCCCAACAGAAATTTTACATTGAAAGGGATCGGATAGATTAGAAAAGGTTAACATCTGTGCAGCACTGAATAATCTTTTAGAATATCAGATCAATTAAAATAAAAACATTGACAAGTTGATTACTTGAAAAAAAATAATGCGTGTATAGCCATCATTAGGCCACTTAATCATATTGGTGTCTGCCGCCTCATAAATGCAGCTGTAAGACCTGTGGATAACATTATGAAGCAAGTGGACACAGAGAAAGAGAATTTCTATATGAAAAGTGTTAACTTTTAGGATTGTTGACCTTTTCCTCTAGAACATTATATATTAAAATTGTACTTTTGAAGGGCTCCATTTTGCTTTCTCTTGTGAGAAGCCATGGTTGCCATTTTGAAAGAACCAGGATTATGGCCCAATGCACTACTCACCAGTGCCAAAATCTAGCCCAAAGGCGGTTTACTGTACGCAACACCACAGAGTATTCTGGGAACACGTATAGCGTTTCTATTTCCCAATAGCACAAATTACAGCTAAATTCTGATTGAATGCTTTGGGCAATACCTACAATTTGATCTTGCTATGGCTATTATGCATTGGTTATGTCACTGAAATTATGGGGGTAAAGCATTAATAGAATTTGCCATATTTACAGAGGCTAAAAGATACCCAGGCCATTCACATCTGTCAGACAACCGCAAAAAGGAAATAAAGCAGGCTTTAGTTTCAATTCTAGATTGTCACTGTCCATGTCATCCACTTGACTATAGTCCTAGCTAAAAGTGGCCTAAATGTTTGTCTGAGGTCAATGTAGCTCCTGGTTATGAAACAAGTTGCTGTTGTAATATATGTGTCTACATATAATATGTGATGATATCAAATATCACTACAATCCAGTAACTGTTTCTTTTAACATAACTGGCTTTCTAGTTCTCTTCCACGATCGGACTTGTTTTCAGTTGATGTTTTATGGGTTAAAAGTTAATCTACTGGCTCTACTACAAGGCAATTCTTTTTAAGGGTTAGCACACAACCAAGGACTTCCCTTACTAGCAAGGGTCTATCAGGACCTAGTAGCGTCCAAAGGCAAAATTACCTAATCCAGGAAAAATCTCAGGAGCCAGGTAGCCAACACTCCTTAAAAACGACAGTTGGTGCCTAACTTGTTAGCTTTTCTCTAGCTGTTCTCAATGAAGCAGACACCTGAAAAAAATGATTTTGCCTCCTGGATTAGACAGACTGGCTACTGAATGCCTTAATAATTTGTCCACCCCTGACCATCACACACAGCTAAAGATACGTGACAAAAGGATTCCTAGAGCCCTATTACAACTTGAGCTAGGAAACCTGTAAACAAAGGGCATTTCCTATGCTGTAAGTCCTGATTATAAAGAAAATAAGGGAAAATCAGTATACACTACCTTTAAAACAAAGATCTTTCATCAAATATCTGGCCATCCTTGTTCAACTGAACAATGCATAGGACCATAAACATGTTCTAAAGTACAGCAATTTCAAGCAACAAACCAAAGAGTACCTTTCACCGATCAGGTGGCAATGCATTAGACTGCCTATATTAGGTTACTGAACATTGCTAACTGCTGCCTTAGCCCTATGCAATGGCTTTAGTGACACTAAACTCAGGAGTTAAATCCTAAAAATGTATTTAAGTACCTTGACTATTAACAAAAATGTATCTTATTTGTGTAATACTCGGGTGTAGATCCTCAAATCATCTCTGAATTGGTGCCGACACTGTTCTGGAGGGTGGCTACATTTGGCCATGGTCCGGATGCATGTTGCAAAGTTGTCACTGCTTCAAGCTTGCTCCCGCGATAGACTACAATCTCAATACAAATAGTAAACTAAACGTGAGATTGTAGTCCATCACGGGAGCGAGCTTGGAGCAGTGGCTACTTTACAACACACACAGGAACTATGGAAAAGAAAAGTAGCCACCCTCCAGAAGGAAGGACAGTGTCAGCACCAATTCAGAGATGATTTGTGGAGCTACAGCATAAACAAGCTACATTTTTGTTAAAAGGTTAATATGTTAGGTGTTAAATCTTAAAAATGCATTCTATTAACTATTGAGTTTAGTGTCACTTTAAAACATGCTCTAGTCTGAACCAGGCACTTAAAAAGACAAATATCATCCTTTATGAATTATCATCCCACACAACCTTCAAATCAAACTGAAAAAATTAAGCGCTGTGCTTCATCAATTTTTGGACCATTCTGAGTCTACATGATCTGACCATTACTCAAAATTTCTAAGCATTGCCAGTAAATGCTGCTTTGAACCGATCAGTTTTCCAAAACAAAACTAATTTGTTTGGCATTATAAAGTGATTAGTAATTCATGTGGATTCCAAGAGGTTAATTATATCTTTATGGAAGGATGCCCCCTAGTCTGAGCAAGACAATTCATTGCAATGTAATCAAATCTAGTGCAATCTAAGATGTTACGTATACTCAGATAATGCTATAATGTGACTGCCTGGTTAATAGCAATAATATATCTCTACAGCATGATTTTTATTAACCAGTAGTGGCAGCAACAGTAAGCGATTTTAAAATATATATTAAACATAATTGACTTAAGGTGCACTTCAGACTAAATGTAGTTAAAACCTGGAACAGCATATAGGAGGTACAGTCTACCTGCCCAGTGCATATTGCAGTATTTCTAACTGCAGCCCAAATCATTTAGGGTTTGGATATTGTAGAGGCCAAAAACCTCGGTCTTATTTTGCCCATTTCCCCCTAATTCTTGCCCCTGTGACCACTGTCACCAGAACAGATTGTGAGAGGCATCGCCTAATGGGAATGCAGAAACAAAATGTTACAGAGGGTCTAATAGTTCGAATGCCTTCCACTGCACTGTGTGGCTCCTCATCCGCCCCCCTAGTGCAGCACTGTCAGTTCTTGCACTGCGTAGCCATTCAAAATATGATGCCCGGCCCCAAGTGTCAGCTTGAGGTGGGGTGGGCTGGGGGTATGGCCGTGAGGAAGCTCCATCCATTCCCGCATTGCTTACAGCTCCCTTGCATACCCTGCAGAGGTGCCTGGATTGGAGTGACATCATATTCTGGCTCTCCGCACCTCTACAGGGTGAGAATGGGAGCTATACAAGCGATGCACACATGGATGGAGATCCCCACAGCACAGCAGCCCATACTGGACCCCAAGCTGAGGATTCACACAAGTTCAGGTACGATACTGTAGGGACACTGGGTGGATCTTAAAAAAATCAAAAACATTTTTGGGAGTGTGGATAGGAGCATGTGAGATTGTGTCTGTGGTTGTGCGCGTGTCAGTGTTTTTGAGGGTCCGTTCACACTAGTACAGTGCATTATTCGCACAGTCCCGTGCAATGAATGCACTGTACCACGCAATCAGAGTTAATGCGCATTTTGGTGCATTGCCATTCATTTAAATTGCACCCCAAACGTATCTCCCGCCCACAGTTCGATCGCCCGCACCAAAACCCGTGGTACTGCAATGCCGTGCGTTTTAGTGCAGTGCAACTTGGGTCGTGACTTAATGACCATGGACAAATGTGGGTCCTGAGGTTACAGAGGTTGAAAACCACTGCTTTAAAGAATAAATCAAAGAAAGTTTTTGTTTTCAATTAACATGAGCAGAATGATAGACTTAATCTGGGGAAGAGGAGAAGTAAAATTGAAAAAACTACATGAACACCATCTTGTTTTTATTTTCAAAGTTCACAAACTTTCAAACTACTTCTATTGATGGGGGAAAAATTACCTATTGTCAAAATTCGAAGCCAGGATAGGGCCATTGATATATATGAGAAAGGGTCTATTCTGACTCAGATTGTTGTATTAGTGATTTATCCCTTGCTGAGACCTCTATGCCTGGCCTGTATAAGCAGATATAATCACTGCGGACAATCCTTATCAGATAGCTTAACTCACCAAATACCTTTTTATCCACAAAGAGCTTTATTTGAATGCAGCAGGTTACAGCAGGCAACAGGATACAGCAGATGAAGAGACAGTATATGAAGGTCAGAGATGGTAATGTTTCCAAGCATGCAAGCAGATTAATGTGGTCATGCTGCAGTCAGCCATTTTGATGCCAGAAACTACAAGTCATGAAGAAGGGCGGTACATTACACGCAAGCAATGTAGACTGTTGCATAAGTCCACATTAAAGCTGCAGTCCGATCATCAGCTCCTTCGGACATACCCACAGCAGGTATTTGTGCAAATGCTGGACGTTTCTACATCAAGTGCTCTTATGTATTAAACCTTAGTTATTTTATAGTGATAGTCTTCACTTTGACATGTGCTCATGCGGTTATATAAATTTAGCATTGAATAACAGTATGAAATCAGGGTCTAAGTGATCTTCTGCTTGGCCTAATTACATTATGGTGATCTTTTCACCTATTTAAAGGCATCCCTTTAGGATTCATCTTTGACAAATGTTAAAAATGGTAGGGTTGTTGAATATTTAAGTTTACTCCATGGGAATTAGTAACAAAGAAAAACATAGGAATGTATCCACTAATATATGCATGCATGGATCATTAACCTGAGCAGGAAATCAGCAGAGTTCTACAAGATCTAAGACCGTAAAGACAGTCACTACTCTGCTACAATTTCCATTATCCTGCATTAAGATATAGCATTATTTTTGGTAAACATGCACAAGTAATATGCACAAAAACAAATAACCGAGTGCAGTCAAAATCAAATTAGATGTTGGCCAATATTTTCCTGGCTACTAAAAACATGCCAGCTGGAAAGGGATTGCTTAATGGTGTTCTCTTTCACCTAATGTATTGTCCATAGGGGCATTATTCAAGTAGTTCAATTGACACTACAACTAGGTTCAAATCTGTCACATCTAGGGCAACAGTGGGACATCTTCCTATCAAGAGTCCTAAATAGCAGTCCCATCAGATCAAATCCTGACCGACTCTAGCCAACATTGGCACCAACGCTTTGGGGAACAGAAGCTGCAGCAGGAGAATCTATAATCTATATATGTTCTCAGTCAAACAATCTGCATGTTTGGCTGAGAAAATGTATTCTACCAATGACACATAACTTATAAAATGGACACCTGCATTAACCTACCACAACTGCTTACTATACTGCTGGCCAGGCCAGGATCACTAGGGTCCCTGAGGAAAAGGAGCAGGACACCAACTGCAGCAGCTTGTGTGCTGCTCATCTGATGCACAGGACAGCCTAAAACCGAGCAGTCATATGCATCCTCAAGAGTGAAGTTCCAAAGACTGCCCTAACCAGGGCTGTCGGCAATGAACCCGCATGGAGGAACTGCATGCTCTTACTAGCTAAAATTAGAAAGAAATTATCCCGTCCATCACCCAGCCAGTGACTTGCTTTAAGTAAAACCAAAGGAACTAGGTTTTTCTGGAGGACATTTCTACGTCCTAACTCCTGGATGCTAGGCTGATAATGGAGCTTGTTCCACAGTGTGTGTGATTTTGGCCACTAGCAAGGGCCACCCCTGGGCTATCTTGTTTTCTATTTGTACCTAGCAACCTACACCTGCAGGTGGCACTATACTCAGATGATCATCTAAAGCAGAGCTGTGTCCTCCAATGAAAAAAAGAGCAAAGTCATTTAAAAAAAACATTTCATAGAACCTTCACTCCGCAGTCTATTACTCCTACAAGCATCATCATGTGAACAAAAAGGTCATGAGGTACTACCATATGCATTATAATTCACGAGAAATGTTTGACTGTTTATAAAGCGTCATTAGATCACCAGCTTAGCTGGGCTAATTAGCCTAAGCTATGATAAACACTACATTTGGAATTGTGAAACAGAACTCATGGGAAAAAACAAACACAGAAAGCAGTGCTAAGTATACATACAACAATAACCATTTATAATTTTGCCCTCTTTGGAAGGAAAAAAGTCATGTTCCACCAGGTTTTTGGCCTATAGCAGAAAAATAAAGCCCGAGCATAAGCCATTCCCACCATTCACCCGCTCTGGGAACTTATTTTTAAGAATCTAAACATTCAGTCACAAGCCATTACGATTATGCATTCTAATGTATGACACTCATTTTGACAATTTATAAAGGTGTATTTCTTAGAGCTGTTAAGAGGTGAGAGGCCTCCACTGAGGTCTGACAGATGCCGCCCTGTTATGTGCTTGAACTTTTGCCAAAAATACATTTAGCCATCTAGTTCCTAAGTAACCATAACAGGATCAAACACAGGGCTCTGTAGTCCCTGTGGTTGACTGCACACCTTTAAAAAAAAATAAAATTAACAACAACTTTCAGAGCCTCTAGTGAGCCTCAATATGAGAAAATTAAAACGGCGATGCTACCTAAAATAGGTATTCTAATTTTTGGCAGATGGAATGTCTAGCCACCTCTCTTGGGGATGATATTGGTTATATCTTGGAGCTTGAGTTCCTGCAGCTGCACACCTACTGTGGCCATTATGCGAAGTTCCTGCTAGATTGTTTTTGTTTCATTATAGCAAATGCAACAAGAGGAGCAGGAACATGTAAAGATGAGTTGCAACAAAAATAAAAGCCTAAAAGGTTGGCAGGTAGGGAGCCAGGAAAATAACCGAGAGCTCTCCAAACCATACAAGAAGCCACATGCTCCCTCAGCCCACCAAGCTTCACTTATGACTAAATTATTACTTTTGGGTGGACTGGCACTTTAAGCAAAATAAGTAAATCACATCTTTTTACAAGGCAATGTGTATATTTATAACTTAAGACAGTATATTCAAATTCTTGCATAAGCACAGTTGTGCTTGGTTCGCTTTAAATACAGGCGTTACATTTCGAGGGCTTGGTAACCTAGGTGTAGTGTCCATGTGTGTCATCCTAACTGCAACTCTCCTTTAAAGTGAGCATCATAAATTAGTATGGAAAGTAAAGAACAGGTACATACATGCTACAGAAGTGATGCTGGCAGGTAGTTTGGGCAAGAATGAGTGCTGGTCTGCCTCCATTTCTTCTCCTTCATGTTGACCTATGTGGGAAGAGTGGGCAAGTGGTGGCAGGGTGGTCTGGGGTACATTCATCTGTTCCAGCACCTCGGTCTCGCCATTCTCTGGCCGAATTCTCTCTCGTCTCCATTGGATTAATGCCACTCGATCGCGTATTGATTTTGCAACTACCTTCACATCATTTTCATGGAAAAATCCAGACTCAATCTGTAAAGATACCAGCAAGAAAATAGTTTACAGGTGAAACTCGAATAATTAGAATATTGTGCAAAAGTAATTGCAGTAAGTGCTGCAAAAGGGGCCCAAACCAAGTACTGAGTACATATGCATGCTTGTACTTTTCAGAGGTCCGATATTGTTCTATGTACAATCCTTGTTTTATTTATTGCATGTAATAATCTACTTTTTTGAGGTTGTGGATTTGGGGTTCTTGGGGTTTTCATGAGCTGTAAGCCATAATCATCACAATTATGACAAATCACGGCTTGAACTATCTTGCTTTGCATGTAATGAGTCTCATATATTAGTTTCACCTTTTAAGTTGCATTAGTGAAATAAATTAACTTTGCACGATATTCTAATTATTCGAGTTTCACCTGTATAGACTGTGGTTGCCATGAAATTGATCTTTACATCGGATTGCATTATTGATGTAACATAAGAAAAAGTAGCATTCCATTTTTGCTCATCTTTTATACAAAGTCCACATTTAAAAAAATAAATGCACACATCTTCAGATAAGAAAAAAAATGTGCATTTGTTATTTATTTTCCACACTGGAGCCAGTAAAGTATTGCAGTTCATTGTGGGTGCAATGCTCTGGCTTGTGCAGATTCTCCCTCCCTTCCTTGTCCATACCTTGGTATGGACATTCAGTAGACGAACAATGAATGGGAGTTTCAATGTAATCATGAAACATGGTCTGATAGGTAAATTTAGCCTTTGATTTGCACTTCTAACATTCATTGACTTTACTTGAAGTGTATCTAAACCTAAAAACAAATATGTACTATATTGCAGCTTACCAAACCTTAGATGTGGTGGCTGCATTAGTTTTCTTTTCTTAGGTGTTTTTTTCTTTTATTTCCACCTGATGATCCAGTCAGTAACACGTCCTGTCTTAAAGGAGAACTATGAGGTGAGGGATTTTCACTCACCTCACAGTTCTAGCCGACCTGTGACAATGAGACTGTCACAGGTCAGCTCAGTAGATCGGGAGGTGAGCGAAAACATAACGTTCGCTCACCTCTCGATCCTGTCACGGCTCTCTGCCGTGACAGGGGAGGGGCTTGATTCCCCCCTTCCTGCTCCGCCAGCGCGGACTAGCGCAACGGACGGGGGAGGGGGTGAGTACAGCTGGCTCTGCCTCTGCCCAGCTGCGTGACTGACAGCTCTGCCCAGCTGTCAGTCACACAGTTGGGCGGATCCCGGCATAATTGTCGGGATCTGCTTCAGCTGCGGCGTCTCAGTATATCGCAAGCTACAGCTCGCGGTATACTGAGCCTAGGGTGACGGGAGGACACTAGTTTGTGTCCTCCCGTTACCCTAAGGAGAACTATGGGGAAAAGCCTTAACCCCATAGTTCTCCTTTAAGCTGGACATACTCCTATAAAAAAACCTGCAGATTTTCTATGGTTAGATGGAAAAAGTGCAACAGAATCCTCCATCTACATTCAACTGTGTAGATGGAGGAATCTCCCACTGGGCCAAGCTTCAGTATCTTGCTAGTCGGCCCCGCTGGCTCTCAAAATAACCAAATGCCTGCACCCAATCAGATTGTTCAGGTATTTTGAGAGCCAGCAAGGCTGACTAGCAAGATACTGAAGCATGGCCCATTGGGAGATTCCTCCATCCACACCGTTTAGCGTAGATGGAGGAATCTGTTGCACTTTTTCCATCTGACCATAGAAAATCTGCAGAAAATCTATAGTGTATGTATGGCCAGCTTTAGGGTGGCTCCATCCTATGGAGGGGCAAAATCACTTATTGAAGATGCCCATAGGATGTACTTCCTCAAACCACTGAGACAAGGTATTGAGGAAGTACATCCTATGGGCACCTTCAATAAAAAGGCTTAGTTAGACTGGTGAAACAAGAAGTGCATATTCACATGGCTGAGTGAAAACGCAGCCCTGTGAATATGCACTTCTTTGTTTCACCAGTCTAGCTAGGCCTGTCTATTGAAGATGCCCATAATTCCTCAATAGCATATGCTGTGATTTTGGAACTTAGATTGTCTACACGTAATGACAGAATGGCGAACAAAAAATACAGTTACTCAAAAAAAAAAAATCACCTGCAACTATTTCTGTTATAATATACATGATTACATGGGAGCAGAAACACAGGTCTCCAGGGAAAAACTAATTACAAGAACAGAACAGGTAAGCTTTTCATAGCTTTTTTTTTACCTTGGCCAAAATTACTGCAACAAGAACACTGTAGAACAGGAAATGAAAAGTGCCCCAGTGAATAAAGGAGTTTTCACTAAGTGTACCTGTCCCCAATACAAGCAGTCATTTTGTGAGATGATCAATGTCCCAGTCATTAGAAGCTTTTCAGTATTGCTTAGTGATGACAAGCATCTTAGGTCTATGACTAGCTTTGCTAAATGGGAAATAAATTCCGACACCAATAACAAAAAAAACTACATATATTTCTAGGGAGGCATTAACTTATCATTCCAACCCACACCCAATGGTTAAAAAATGAGGCTGGCAGAGTAGATATTCAAGAATGAAGTAATTTTGGGAGTGGGTGAAGATTTCTCTATAATTTCATTGTAATGCCTCGACTATTAAAACTGCATCTCCATTGGCCTACCCCTACACATACTATTCAGTCTATCATGAAAGCTGTTTCCAGACTCGTCCACCTTACCAGCTGCATACTGTCAGGCACTATTCTCTGCCAATCACGCCACTGGCTTCCGATCGCACACAGAATAAAATTCAAAATATTAACATACAAAGCCATCCACAGCCTCGAGCTACATGCCCACCCTCGTCTTACAATATCACCCAAACCGTGCTCTCTGTTTTTCCCAAGATGACCTGCTCTCTAGATCCCTTGCTGCCTCCTCCTATGCTCACGTCCAAGACTTGTCTCTCCCTTCCCCAATCTGCATGGCAATCTCTTACTCTGTCCCTCTTTAGGCAGTCCTTGAAAACTTATCCCCTAAGGGAAACATATCCCCCTCTATCAAACAACTGAAATGTTACTCTTTTGAACAACTCCTTTACCACACAGCTACCACCTTTTGTAAAACTTACCTCTCCCCTTTTAGATTGCAAGTTCTCATGAGCAGGACCCTCCTAACCATCTTGTCTTGAACTGTATTGTAACTGTACTATCCCCCTTTATTTTGTAAATCGCTGCGCAAACTGTTGGTGCTACAGTATATAAACCCTGTATAATAATAAAACTTTAGGGCTGCAACAGATCTTGCTTTTCCTGTGACAAATGCCTGCCTTAAAGTATAGGCAAAAAGCTAAATGCACAGTTGGAATTCCAATTTATGAATAGTGTGGAAACAGAGGCCAAGTATTACTATTATCTGTGTGCTCTCTTCCACACAGCAAGCTCCCTTTGTTATGTTTAATCGTGATTAGTTGAAAGTGCTGCTCCCTCCCCTCAACTAAATGCTGATATACAGGGGTTTATAGGAGGCCTCCCCTCTACCCCACTTAAATGCGGATATACAGGGGTTTACAGAAGGCTTCTTAAAGACAGTCAAGATGCCATTATAAAATATAGATTACCATGTCTTGATATAAAAATGAGGGACCTTCATATCCATCTACACCAATACATTTAATACTCTTAAGGGAAACTGGTAAAGGCAAAATGGTTTTGGGTGAATTTGATTTCCATGTTCTCGGATTCCCACATTACTGTGGAGTCAGTCAGCACACCTGTATTTATCTCCTTTAGAGAAATATGGTGGCTGCCATTGCAGACCCACTTCTGAAAAAGCTAGCTGCCTGGCTGTTGAGGGCCTTCCAGCTTAATTACGGTCTTATTCACTGAACAAAAACAGGTATACACACCTAGAAAAGTCAAAAACCTTGAACCAGGACAGAGAATCAAGGTATTGGCTGAAGAGAGTCAGCCTGACAGCCAAGCAACTATCATCTGCAGAATATGACCTTATTAATGTCAGCTTCCATGTTCTCAGGAAAGATGGCCTTTACAATTTACAAAAACTGGAGATATAATATATATATATATATAT